TTAATTAATTAAAACCCGAACAACCAAAGATCCACATACAAATACCCGTGAAAACCTCAGAAAACAAATATATATATATATATTCTTAAGTTTTCGTGGGTACTTACATGTATGGTATTCAGCTTTGCTTGGGTATTTTCCCATGTCATTGTAGTTGTGCTTTTAAAGTTGTAGCAACGTTTCGGCAGAATCTCATCTGCCATCATCAGGCTTCTGTATTGTGTTCGTCTGTATTGTCTGTATTCGACGAACACAATACAGAAGCCTGATGATGGCAGATGAGATTCTGCCGAAATGTTGCTACAACTTTATCTCTCTGCAACTAGGATGCAGATAGCATGGCAATGTTGCCCTTCTACAAGACAGAAAACTATGCATAGACCTGAAATTAATGTGTTTCTTTTCTTTTGAGGCTGCTCATTTGGCATGTACATTTTTTTAAAAAATTAAGATTAAAAAAAAAGATTCGTAAGCTGACTGAAGAAATCATATGACAGTGTAAATGTTCCTTAATTAACGACTACTCGATCAATGTCTGTCTTGAACTTGCAACAGTGCTGAACAAGTGGTACTTATGATGGGTCCTCGGAGTTCCAGTTGACACAGTTCACATTTGCTAGGTTTCAGTAAGCAAAATTTAATTGGAAATTCAGCCAGAGATTGTAAAATGGCAACCACATGACATCATCACTTAGTGATGTGCATTGATTTGCTTAATGATGGCAACAGAGAGTACTGGAGTCACTGTTGCTAAGCAGCATGATCACATGATGTTGTTCATAAAACAACAGCAATTCTGATTCCAATTGCTGTTGTTAACGGAGGACTTCCCTGTATGTAAATAAATAAATCAGAACTGCACATGCTTAGTAGTGCAATGAACATGTTAACTCTGTGCAATTTTTATACAAACACAGGCAATTCTAGACTATGAAATATTTAAGAAAGAGTCCAGAAAGAAAAGAAAATTATTGCATTAAAAGGCTGTTGTCAGGGCTCCGACAATCCATCCCCATTCAAATCATGAGCCTCTAGTCACATCTCTCAGAGTTTTAAAAAAATCATTTATTAGGAGTGAACATGCCGGCATTACCTGGGTGCAGTCAACTCTGAGACACATCATTTATCTCACCAGAGGTGGTATTCAGCAGGTTCTGACCAGTTCTGGAGAACCGGTAGTGGAAATTTTGAGTAGAACCAGCAAATACCACCTCTGACTGCCTCCACCCCCATCTATTCTCTGCCTCCCGAGTCCCAGCTGATCGGCTAGGTCTTCTTTTGTTGCCCTGCACAGGAGAATGGAGCTGGAAAGCAGGATAGTGGGGTGGGGAGGGAATGGGGGTTTTACAGTATCCTTCCCCTGCCACGCCCACCAAGCCATGCCCACAGAACAGGTAGTAAAAAAAAATTGAATCCCACCACTGCATCTCACCCTTCACCCTGGTCTTCCCCCATCCCCTGGATGTATATTCTCCAATGGGACACATCCATAGCCAAGAGTCATCAATCATACTCTCCAGTAATAATCTTGCGCACCAGAAGCTTTGGCCGCCTGGCAATTATCGATGAAAATATTTAAGGTATGCATTACTTCCTCCACTCCTTTCTGCTGACAACTCTAAAAGACCAGAGAAATATATTTGAGTTGACAGCTGTTAGTAATGATATTCATTTTCTATCCATACCATTTAGACCAGCGGCCGCCAACTGGTGGGCCACGAGAAAATTTTGGTGGGCTGCAGAAAAATCTCACCCCCTGAGCACCCCCCAAAACAATTAATCCAGGCTGTGCAGAAACACAAGGCTGTGCCGTTCACATGGCCCGCAGGAACCCTCCCTGCCCACTCACTCCTTACCCGGCAAACTTGCCTGCTAAAATTGCTATTTTTCCTTTTTCTGACCATCATCTGTTCTGCTGTGCAGGGAGATTTAAAATAGCTAGGAAGCAGGAAATGGTTGGATTTCTTGCTTTCTAGCTAGTCTTTAGATCTTCGGCTCTGCTTTTAAGCACAGCCGAACCTCCCTTAGGACTGAAGGTTTGCTTGCAAGCAAATTCAGTGCAGACTCACGGCAAGCAAATTTGAGAGACTGAGCTAGCCGATGGCAGATAGATAGATCACTGAATGATTCTGTGAGCAACTCAATCTGCCTGCTTTGCCTGATTTTGGGTAAAAGTTGCTCTTTTTAAAAATAAAAAAATTAA